GCCGGAGGTCGCTAGGCCCCGCGACAGCATGCCGGCGGAAGGAGAGACAGCCTCCCCCATCGTGTCCCCCGTCCCTGGCATTTAGCCAGCGACGGTGCCAGAACCTTCCGGATGGAGGCTCCGGGGCTGTGCGGAACCCCGATTCCCTCCTGCCGGCTAAAGAAGTCGGGGAAAGTGGGGCCTCACGTGGGCATGCGCTTTCTGTGCTATCCTGCCAAGGTCACAGAACAGCTGCTGAGCAATGCACACCTGGGCAGGAGTCTGCGGGCCGCACGCCCTCGACCACCCTTGCCCTTGATCCTGCTGCCCTTGGCCCCACCGCCCTTGACCCCGCCGCCCTTGACCCCACCGCGCTTGACCCCGCCACCCTTGACCCCACCGCCCTTGACCCCACCCACCCTCGGCCCCGCTCCCGCTGCCCCCTCGTGCCCTGCCGGCGGGGGACGTCAGCCCTGTCCTCTGTTCTGTGTTCCAGCTGGCCCGGCACAATAAAGAGCTGCAGAGCATGCTGAAGCCCGGGGGCCAGGTGGACGGGGACGCAGCCCTGGGCTTCTACGCCAAGCACACGGCCCAGATAGAGGTACCGCGGCGAGCACCCCACGCATGTGTCCGTCTGGGGTGCCTGGGGGTGTTGTGAGCACCTCTGTATGTCAGCTCCTGCACCAGTGGTGGCCAGGCCACCGGTTCCCGCCTACAGCCTGGTGGGGAGGCGGGCCCCGAGCAAAGCCTCACAGGGAGGCGGTGTTCGTTATGCGTCCTGACCAGGCCATGCGGACCCGCAGACGGTGCTCTAAGAAATTCCAGCAGAGGGGCCCGCGGTCGATTGTGGGACACCACGTGGAAGCGTGGGCCTCAGGGAAAATGAGAGACGAGAGGGGGCAGCCTCTCGGAGGCGAGGCCTAACGGCGAGGGCGGGAGACACTGGGCGAGGGTGACGGAGCAGGCAGACCGGGAAGGAAGACAGGCGGCCCAGCTCCTCAGAGTCCTGGCCACCTCCCCTGACAGGTCTGGACATCACCTGGGGGTGGCCCCTGGGACACTTCGTCATGGGGAAGTGATACGGCCAGGTCCGCGTTAAAAACACACACACTCCACAGGCCTTCCTAACCCTCGTGAGCTAAATGGGGTCGTCTCCATCGTGCAGATGGGGAAACTGAGGTAAGACGCAGGGAGGCCGTGCCCCTCGTCCAGTTATCAGTGGCGGGGCTGGGATTCGAATCCCGGCCTGGCTGACCCCAGGGCCCACGGGTACATGTCCGGTCACCTGCATTGTCTCTGAGCATCGGAGAGAGCGGACTGTCTGCGGGCTCTGGGCCGGCAGGGGACACGGGCCTCGTTTGGCCGATGAGGAAGCGCACGCAGTCCGAGTCAGTGTTGGGACGAGGACTGTGAAGGACCACTGACTCCTCTGGGCCTCGTGGAACATTCAGAGTGGAGGCTTTTTGAGAACAGATTCGCACCTGATGTCGCGAGTCTCTGGGATCCCTAATAAAAGGCGTCACCTCACCGATTAATGACTAAATGCTTGAGGAGGGCCAGCTCCGCCCCGGAGCCCTTGCAGGACAGGCTGTAGGTGTCTGCAGTGCAGTGTGTCAGAGGAAAGAGGACTCGGACCCTATCATGAGCTCCTCAGTCACTGGGGAGCCGCCCGAGGCTTGGTCAGGCTAAGACGTGTGAACAGGGTCGCCGAGCCCGTTACAGGCGGGAGGACCGGAACGTGTTCTCCTGACTCCCGCCTGTCAGGATGGTGAACGAGGTGTGGGTAGGTCTCAAACGAGAAAGAGATATGGCCAGGCATGGTGTCCCCAGCTCTCGCGCCCTGCCCTTGGCCAGCCACCCGTCTCTTCCAGTTTCCCAAGGGCGTTACCTGTGCAAAGCCACAGGCCACTTTGTAACCACCGGGGTTCTCCCCGCAGACCCTAGGGCCTTGGCGAGTCAGGCTGGGGAGCCTGGGGTCCGGGGCTCAGCTCTGGCCGGCCAGCCTCCTGTCTCCCGCTCCGTTACCTCCTGAGCCCCGATCGCAGCCCTTCGGCGGAAGGAGGGGCCGTGCGAAGCTGGCAGGCTCTGCGGTCGGTCCCTGAGCCTGTGTGTGCACGTGTCGCCCAGGGAGTCGGTTCGTGGGCAAGATCCGCGCACCAACCCCCACACACGATTCGGTTCAGTGAGGTGGGCATGGGGACCAGAGTCGGCGTGAGAGGGAAACTTCCTGTAACTTGATCTCCCCTAGATTTGGGAACCACTGGTCTAAAGACCAAGTCTCCCAGAATTTATGGAGCCAGGGCTGCGGGATCCTGTCTCACCCCTGGGCGAGTTTCCCACGACAGCTTGACCTTGGTGCATCAGGGAGAGCGAGAACCAGATCTTCTCGTAGAGGGTGTTGGCCCAGGGCCTCCCCGGACTTCTCAGGCTCTGGAGAGGAAGAACAGAGAGGCCGTGCCCCTCCGTCCTGCACCCCGCACCCCTTTTGAAATCTCTAGCTCCCAGGACGGTGTCTTAGAATTTGAATAATCCTGACCAGGCTGCCTCCTCCTTGGGGACTGAGCCAGTCTGTGCGGCGTCCCCTCCCCTCTCCCCCGGGCCCGGCAGAGCGAGTTTGAAGAACAGTAGGTGCTGTCCCAGCATTGGTTGGGACGCTGGTGCCCACACTGTGCATTTCAGATGCCGTGACGAGTACGAGGCAGGACGCCACCACGACTGGATAAACCAAGGTCTCTTTAAGGTCCCTACCTAGGAAAGGTGACCCAGTTTTGCTCTGAGAAAGGATCCTAGGTGTCTGCGCTGCCCAACACAGAAGCCGCTGGCCGTGGGTGGCTGCTTAAAATCAAGTGAAATAAAATTAAATGCTCAGTTCCACGGGCGCACTAGCCACATGCACTGGTGCTCGCTGGCCTCCTGGGACTGGCGGCCGTGCTTTTGGGCAGGACAGACGCTGTACAGAGCCATGCCGTCATGATAGAAAGCGTTATGGGACAGCCCCAGCCTGGAGCCACAGCCGAATGTGTGTATGGGGGGCGGGGGGAACAGTTTACGCTGCGGTCAAGTTAGTCGCAGTGCAGTTAATCGGCCTGAGGTGAGAAAAATACTATTGGAGACGTACGGAAACCATTTGATGTGAGGGGGTCTGCACGGTCAGCAGACGCGGGCTCAGGTCTGCACCATGTCGTACCCCGAGCCCAGGACTCTCGGCAGCGGGCTTCTGAGGCTCCTGTTCATTCTCCCCTCAGATCGTCAGACAGGACCGGACCATGGAGCAGATCGTGTTCCCCGTGCCCAGCATCTGCGAGTTCCTCACCAAGGAGTCGAAGCTGCGCATCTACTACACCACGGAGAGGGACGAGCAGGGCAGCAAGATCAACGACTTCTTCCTGCGCTCCGAGGACCTCTTCAACGAGATGAACTGGCAGAAGAAGCTGCGAGGTGTGTGGCCCGCACACGCGCGCGGGTACGGCCGTGCGCCCCTCCCCCCAGACTGGGCGGAGCCGAGCCGGGGTGGCTCCGGCCCAGGAATGATGCCACCCATCCCAGACAGATGCCCCTGCGGCCGGCGAGTGGGCTCCAGCCCCAGGCACCCGCCCCGAGAGCTCCACGGAGCGCCTTTCAGAAGGCCCTCTGGTGTCTGAGGCCGGGCCCTGAGCTCACAGCAGGGTCACAGCTCCGGCCTGACCCCGGTCACCCCGTTTGCTCGCTTGCGGCACACCTGCTGGGGGAGCTGCTCTTCCTCCTCTGTGGGCAGCTCGCCTTTTACGCTCCTTCACGCAAGGAACCATCTGCCCACTAAGACGCGTCCTTGCTCACCACTGGGTCCCAGGGCAAAGCCCGGCGGGGCGGGCTGAAATCGCTCATCGCAGGCGCTTTTCGGGGCGACCCCGGAGGGCTGCGTGGCTCCTGGTTGTCACCGACATTTTCATGTGACACTTCAGCGCTCAGGCACCAACTTCCATGACCAACTCAGAAAGGCCTGTGCTTTATTTCTGTTAGGAGCTGGTGGTTTTTTCAAAGCCCTGGGTTCCGGCTGCAGTCGTGACCTTTGGGGCGCACTCTGAGGGGCGGGGCAGCGGGAGGGGGTGCCAGGTTGGAGGTCGGCTTCCGGGAGCTTCCGCCCTCTTCCTGCCAGGCACCAGTCCGAGCAGGAACAGACCGGCCTCTCACTGAGAGCCGCTCCTATCACCGCGCCCTCCTTCCCTCCCTGCACCCGCGACTCGGCTGGCAGCAGAGCGGGCCGTGGAAGCAGGTTGCCAGAAGGCCCCGTTCCCAGCTCACCCCAACCCGCGCTGCGTTTTTTCCTCGCTTCCAAAGGGCACCTCGTCGTCCAGCACTGTAAAACGTGGTCACCTGTCTTGCTGGGCCAAACTCGTCCCTCACCCAGCCCCGTGGCTCTGACAGGGGGTCTTAGTAGGACAGCATGCGCGCCGTCCTCGGAAGGCCCAGGGTAGAGTCTCCCCAGGGTCGCCGTGTCCTCGTGTCCTGCCGTGGACGTCCACACTGGGCTCTGAGGGAAGGAAGACACGCCCAGCCCGGTCCGTAGCCTTGCGTTTTCAGCTTCCACGTTACACAGAGGAGAACATCCTCTTAGTTGTCATTTTTACCCCTGGCTGGGCTGTTCTACGGCTCACCGTCCGGGGATGATCCCGAATTCGCGCGCCCAAACCTCCAGGGTGGTTTCTGGAGCTGTGATTTCGGGGGTCCGCTGAGACCGGTCAGGTAGATGCATCCGCTCAGAATCGTGTCATCAAATATGTCTGTCTACTCGTGCATACACGTGGGACGTACATCGTAAAGGTTCTCCGAGAAGCTTTTGAACTAACGGAAAGGTTTTCACCTTCTACGGCGGGCACGGTACCTCGTCCTCCTTCCTTCTGCCACGTCAAGGTGTCGTCTGCAGCCCGGCAGAGAAGGAGGCCCTCGGCCCCGTGAGGCGGGGATCTGAGTTGTAATCCACTCTGCCACCCACTGGTTCTGCGGCCCAGGCAGATGACTTAACCACTGCCAGCCCCTCACCTATAGAAGGGGGAGTCAAGACCACCTTTTGATTGATTGATTGATTGATTGATTGATTGATTGACTGATGGCAGAATGGCCACCCCATCATTCCAAGTTGTATTTCACAGTGTAGCTAGTATCCTATTTCATCTTTCTGTCTTTCAAAACCAGTTTGTGTTTCAGGAAACTTAAACAGAACTGTAGTTGTCAACGGAAAGATTTTAATTGGCTTCAAAGCTATCTGCTGGGAAGAGAAAAATCGAAAATAATAGCTGAGTTAAACACGGTTTGCAGATTGAGGGAGGGGAGGGTGTGCTCGTTAGAAGGACAACTAAAATGAAATACATTCTCCTCTCCAGCTCATTTCTCTTCTAATGAATCTGCAGAACACATTTTTCTGGCTTATTCACAAGGCCGCTTTACCTTTTCCTGAAGGCGTCACAGAGAATCGTCTGTGCAGCCGGAGGCGGATGGACACCGAGCTCCGAGGCTAAGGCTGCTTAGCATTTTCTTCTGCGAGTATAAAAATGCTCAGTCCCCAGGCTTTCCGGAAGCCCTCTTCCGTGTTCCGCTCACCCCGCACAGACGCACACACGCACGCGCGCACACACGCGCACACATGCGTGCACACCTTTCCGTGCATCCACGCCCTCCCAGGCCTCTGCGACATCTTCTCCGGGAGTCCCTTGCCCCAAGGAGGCGAAAAGTCCTGGCCAAGAAACCTGGAAGGCAGAGAAAGAGGAAGGCCAGGCAGAGTCGCGAACCCGACGGTTTCTCGGGGGTTCTCGGGCGCGGGCATTGCACGCATCGGAATAGAGCCTGGGCGTCCGCTGCTGTATGTATGTGGAGTCCAGGTCACCGGCAAGGGCCCGTTCCTTTTAAAAACAAACAACAATCCGGGAAAACGATGCCCTGGCCTGCGGACATTTACACTGGCCGGCCTGCCTGGGCTCCTGGCGCTCCGTCCGTGCGCTGTGATGTAGCAGGTGTGTTGGTCCAGCCAACTTCTAAGCCCCTGGTAAGCAGAAACACGCTAGAGGGCAGAGCGGAGAAGTCGACGCTGTGTCAGCTCCCGTGCCTTCCCGTGAGACCTGCCGTCTGTTGGGGGCAGACCACGCACCATGCTTGTAAGAGGCTGTCGTTTCAGTGGTCGGCTGGGAGCAGGCCTGCAATCGGCCCTGATGCATTGTGGGAGCATGAGAGTTAGGCTCCTGAGCAGAGATGAGATCTGAATGACAACTAGAGGTTGAAAGCCGCCCGAGAGGCGGGCGCGGGGAAGGCTTGCCGTGCGTCTCCCAGCTCTGCTTTCTCCCAGCACGCAAACTAGGAAGCCGGCAGCAACGCACGTCTGTTATGCGGTGGTTCCGAGGCCACGTGTCGGCAGGTCTGGATGCCCCCCCCCCGGAGGCTCCACCCCTTCCTCCCTCTGCAGGGCCAGGGAGCCTTTCTCCTGCCACCCCACTCTGACCGTGACACTCCGAGGTCCCTTTTGCCACTTCAGGTAACAGGTTCGCAGTTTCCGGGGGTAGGAGGTGGAGGCATTTGGGGCCATCCTTTTGCCCATCGCAGAGGCGTGCTAGCCGCGTTCTGTTGCTGCGTAATGAACTGCCACCAAACTTACTGCCTGAAAACAATAAGGATTTATGTTCTCACAGTTCATCAGGATCCGGAATTTGGGAGTGACTTAGCTGGGTGGTTCTGTCTCAGGGTCTTTTGTGAGGGTTGCAGCCACAATGTCAGCCAGGGTTACTGTCACCTGAAGGTTGGACGGGCCCTGAAGGGTCCCCCTCTTTGCTGGGGGGTGACTGTTGGCGGGAGGCCTCAGTTCCTCTCTGCATGGGCCTCCAGAGGGCTGCTGGAGTGTCCTCACAACGTGGCAGTTGGTTTCCTTAGAGCAGAAGACTAATGGGAGAGGAGAGAGAGAGAGAGAAAGCACACGTGTGCACGGAGGAAGCCGCAGTGCCCTTTGTGACCTCGTCTCAGGGAGCATGACCGTCACTTCCGCTCTATCCCGTCTCGTAGAATCAAGTCGCTGAGCCCAGCCAGCCCGCACTCAAAGGGCGTGGAGTTAGGCCGCATCCCATAAAGGGAGGAATGTCGAAGAATTTGTGGCCGCGTTTTTAAATCGCCATGGGGGAGCCCCTGGAGGCGGGAGAGTGCAGGGTGGTTGGGGGAGCAAAGGCAGAGTCTGTGGGTGAAGGGTCCGGGGAGGGAGGTGAGGACGCGGTGCCGGCTGCCGAGGAGGCCGCAGGCGGTGCACGTCGAGTCCGGTCTCCGTGTCTCCTCGCGCCCGGGTAGACACCCCGCCGATGCAAAGGACCAAATGTTCATATTCACAGCGATGCTACGTTTAAGTAAACGTTAGCCTTGGGGAAACTTCGGAGGTCGGTTTGTGTGCCTGGTGGAAAATCACTTATCACAGTTGTGCTCGAGCCGCGTTCGCATGGCGGCCCCCGCAGAGAGGTGGCCGAGCTCCGCCGGTCCCTCTGCGCCTTTTAACTTCTTCACGTGCTCTCTCTGCACGTACACGAATGTGGAGCGGGAATCGCGAATCCCACGGGCCCCTCACTCCGCCCCGGCGGTCAGCAGCCCTCGGCCGCTCTCGCCGTCCATCTCGTCTCTCCTGGCGTTTTCCCGTCCAGACCAGAAATGGGCTCCCGTCTGGAAGAAATGCTAGCGGCTGTTGTCACCGCGTTTCAGTCTGCCTCAGCCGTGAACCTGCCGAAGGTCCCTTGTCACCGGAGGTTGGCGGAATCCCGGTCAGCGCCTCTGTTGAGTGGCGACATGAACCACTCACCTGTGTCTCTGCCACTGACCGCCCCCAGCAGGTCACGGACCTAGGCGACCAGATCTCCACAGCTTCCGCTCTCTACTGGGCCTCAGTTTCCCTCTTTTATAAAACGAGGGATTTTTTTAACTGGATGGTGCTCATAGCTCTAAAACTCTACAGTTTAGAAACATTGCCCGTTACCAAGCGCTGACATGAAACGACCAGTTAGTAAACCACCCAGGGCACTGTCTAACCGCTTTATTTTAAATAGAGGCTTCCACAGGCGTAGCTGCTGCTGTGGCCTCACCGGAGGGCTTGTCACTGCCACTGTCCTGAAGTTAGATGGTGGCTCCACCGGGGAAGAGGACACACAGCAGAGAGCCCCTCTCATGCTCCAGGCTTCTCTCCCGTGGGCTTGGGCGGGGAGGTATGTCAGCTGACATTGTCTTGAGACACTTTGCCTCTGGCATGGAACTGAAATTGTTCCTTCCACGTGCATTTTTGAGCGTCATTGTAAGTGTCAGGCACCACTGTCCTTAGCGGGCCACAGGCTGGTGCCTCTAAGACTGAGAATGTGCAGCCAGCCTGGTGTCACCTGCCGGTGACAGCGGATGAGATGGCAGCAATATCACACGTGTCTCTCACCCCCTTAGTGACGGCTTTAGTACGGCTTCCTTTCTCCACTGTGGCCTTTGGGAATGGGGACCCTGCTCTGTCCACCCAGTCAGCAACTGTCACTCCTGGTCCCCCCCACCCCGCCCCGAGCGATCATCAGACTTCAGGAAAATGGCAAATGACTTGGCGTCAGGAACGGGACCTCGTCTCGCTTTTAGGCACCACGAGTTAGCGGAGAATGCCAAGCAAGGGGGGCACGTGGGAGTGGCAGCCGTCCTCGTCTGGGACCCAGCTGGCCGACTCTGAGTCTCACGTGTCCCCCCCTCCTCCCCGCTGTGCCCACACTTCTCAAAGGCTCATTCAACTCGGGTCTCTCCGAGCCTCTCATGTGGTCCTGGAGCCCTGGGGGTGGCTAAGGACTCAGCACGTGAACTCTGGGTATCCCCGGGTTCCATAACCGAGGGTGTCGACCGGGGTAGGCGGGGCTTCCGATGCTCCAGCTCTTCTCCTCTCCCTGGTCCCCAAATATGTCTTCTGTCCCAGTGAGTCCTCCAAACAGAAATAAACCGATCTGTGGTCGCTGTGAGCCTGTGAGTCACCTTCGAAACACATGACCGTTTTTACTGTTGTGGAAACTGGGAACAAAAGTGCCTTGTAGGGGCCGAGCGGGGGGAGGGGCCGGGCACCCGCCGGGCGTCCTGCCCTGCGGCCGGGACCTCACGTGGCCCGTCTCGTTTCCGCAGCCCAGCCCGTGCTGTACTGGTGTGCCCGCAACATGTCCTTCTGGAGCAGCATCTCGTTTAACCTGGCCGTCCTGATGAATCTGCTCGTGGCCTTCTTCTACCCATTCAGAGGCGTCCGAGGAGGTACCCCGTCTTTAATTTCAGGGAAACTACTGGAAGCCGCGGGAAGGCTGTGACCTGTACCTTCAAGGTGACCGCCGGACATCCCAGGGTGATCTGTGGGGTCCCTGTCATCCCCTTCAGACAAGACGAGGTGGTAGCTTTCTCCGTGGGTCTCGTTTTAAATCTAACTTAGAATAATGCGAAGTTTCCGTTCGTATTTATTGACCAAGAAAGAAAGAAGCTATGACATCTGTGAGGAGTAGTCTCAGCCGCCTCGTGTGTGCCGGGAGAGAGTGGCTCAGAGAGGTCGAGAGAGCCAGCCCAGGTCACACAGCCCGTCCGGGGCAGAGCTGACCCGAGCAAGCAGATATTCTGAGGCCCGGTCCACTGGATTTCTTTCCCCCCATCATATTTCTGGAGTTGATCTCAGACTACAGAATTTGTAAGAAATCTCTGGAATTTGAGGGTGGCAGGTGAGGTGGGGCGCAGGGCTTCAGTGACTGCAGACCGTTTGTCCTGGGAGCTCCGTCTTAAGAGTGACATGCCGTTAATCCCATGCCAGCCCGTGCTGTCCATGTTCTGTACGGGCCACCCGTCCCCAGCTTCCGGTCACCCGTGTGCACGTTCTCCACGTCCTGCTGAGGACAGGCTCAGGGCCACGTGCGTGCGGGCTCCCACACACCCCTCGCCGTTGCCCACGGCCGCCTCCTGGGGGCGACTCCTCAGCTCACTTTCCCCCCGAGTTTCCTGGCACATCGGCTCACGTACATGTGGGATGGCTGCCGGGAGCCACCTCGTGTGGCCCGTGTGGGGTCAAGGTCCCGGAGTGAGACGCACAAGCCGTGCAGGAGCGAGGCGCAGGCTGAGCTCGCGAGCCCGACAGCGCAGGTGTGGGCCCGTGTGAAGCAGCAGCGGCCGCCACATGACGGTGACTTGTCACGTGAGGCGCATGTCTCTAACTTACCCATTCGAGGAGTTAGCTTTTCTGTTTGGTGTCGAGTCACACTGAAAGCTCTATTTGAGGGATTTTCTTCCCCAAAAGCACTGTCTAAACACGAGTCCGGGAGATCTTCCTTTCCAGTGCTGTGCCAGGAATAAGTGTTCTGGCCGAAGGACTCGGCAGGCCCACCGGGCGGCCAGCATTTCCCTGAGGGCACGTCTGCCCCAGCCAGGCGGCCATTCGGCAGAGCAAGAGCAGGAGGCCGTGGGCCAAGGGCTGGGTCGGGGGTGACAGAGGCCAGGCCTCCCTCCACCTCGTCACGTGCGTCCCAGCAGATTCTTCAGACGTGGTTTTGGATGTGCTTTCATTTACCTCCGTTTCTTTAAAAACATTTCAAAGCGATTTTTGTTATACACCTTGACCATTGTCTTCACCAGTCACTCTGTCTCGAGGCCCATGTCTGGGGACAGTTAGTGGACAGCCCCCTCCCCGTCAGTGATGAGCCTGGCCCAGTGGGTACCTGGACTTAGAGAGTCCGGCCTGGGCGTCCAGGCCTGGGCGAGCCCCCTTGGCGCTCCTCACCCTCTCTGCATGGTGCTCACGTTGGGCCGGTGTCGTGACACCTCCGTGCAGACTCGGGGACTCCTGTGGCTTCCGGGGAAGAATAGTTGCTGACCAGCCGGGATCTCTGAGGGATCCCGATTGCTGCCCATCCAAGTCCAAGACCCACTGAATGACATGACTGGTAAAGGTCCTTCCAGCTCTACAGCGGTGGCTCCACTGTGACATCAGCTCCGGCTGGGCTGTAGGAATCCAGCCTCCCTGCTCTGGCAACGTGGGCCTGAGGACTTGCTGCCGATGGACTGGACGGGAAGCACGGTTAGACCTCCTGGCAGGAAAGGACATCGATCTGACCTCAGGAAGCCCTTTCCGTTAATCGGTCACTGAGATGGGCGCCAACACATCCGCTCCCTTGCAGGGGGAGGCGTTTTTTTCTTTTGTAAGACATCGTGGGAGCATCTTCTACACTCACTGCTAACCATCAAGAGAAGGCTTTTGTTAGTCCTGCCGAGAAAGGAGATCTGCATGGTTACCCGAAATTATTCTCTGAGATCAGCATTCTTGTCAAATGCTAACACTAGGATTTCTAAAACGCCTCTCTGTGATGTGTGTAACGACCTTGTTAGGTGCACTGACGTGGCCCTGTGGCTCATAAGGCCTGTGGCTGCCAGCGGCCCCGGTGGCCTTAAAAGCTCTTTCTTACCAACAGAATCATTGCCCCATTTCACTTCAGGAGGGATAAGTCACACAGTATTTCAAAAGCATGAAACGTGAGCAACTTCAGATTTCTTACTGAATTTGTGGGCATGTCATGTAATTAAAGCAAATACAGGACTACTTTTTAAACTTTCTCGTTGAAATGTTCAAGTATATACGTAAGTAGAAAGAACAGTATAATAAACCGCCGTATACCCATCAGCCCAGGCTGAGCACGTAGCAGCTTCTGCCAGTCTGGTTTCATCCACTCTCCTACTGTATCTTCTGAAACATTTTGAAGAAGTCGACATCTTGTTGTCTTGCACGTAAATATTTCATCGTACACCTCTAACTTACAAGGATATTTTTAAAGACATGCAGCCACCATGCCATTATCTTACCTGATGAAAGTAAGAATGAAACATGTCATAGCCTGTCCATTTTGACCTTTCTCCATTCGTCCCAAAGATGTCTTTCTATAGCCAGTTTTTTTTGGGGGGGAGGGGGGTGTTTTGTTTTGTTTTTGGAATCTAGCATTATTTTTTAACACTTCTTTTATAGTGGGGACACAGCGAGTTTTCTACTGGCCCCTTCAGGATTTGGGTACATGCATCATACTGGTCACATTTATTACATTGGGATCTTAAGAAGCAGTTCAAGATGGTGATTAAGCACTTAAGAAAATGAAAGGAAAGCCACAGACTGAGAAAATATTTACAAAACGTGTATCCAACAAGAGAATATGTAAAGAACTCTTACAACTCGAAGAGGCTACTCAGTGGGCAAAAGACATCACCAGACACTTCACAAAAGAAGATCCTCGAATGGCCAATAAGCCCATGACAAGGTCTTCAGCGTCACTAGTTACCAGGGAAACTCAAATGAAAACCGCAGGAGAGCAGCACTACGAGCCTGCTAGAGCGGCTCGTGACGTGGCGCTTCCGTGTGTCCCCCGCGAGGAGGACACGCCACCGTCATTTTGCAAGACGGCAGGGTCGTGTCTCATAGAATCGAACATACACCTAGGATTCCAAACTCTGCTTCCAGGTCTTTGTCCAAGAGAAGTGGAAAAGTGCCCACGACAAGGTTTGTACTTGAATTCGGAATAATGCCGAACTGGGAGCAGCCCAAGCGTCCACCCGTTCACGGCCGCATGGCCCGTAGATAAATGGTGGGCTGTCCACACTGCCGAGTACGTCTCAGCTATAGAAGGAACGGAGTATCAATACGCATGGTAACCCGAGTGAATGTTAAAAATTTGAAAGAATTTAAAAGACTACCTAGTGATATGGTTATTTTTCCCGTTTTTATGAAATTCTGGAAAATGCAAAGCTGCAGTGATAGGAAGCAGGTCAGTGGTTGCCCGTGGGTGAAGACAGGGCAAGGTGCCGATGTCAGGGGCTCGAGGAAGCCTTTTTAGTGACAAAAACGTTCCGTATCTTGCTCGCGTTGGCAGTTACACGTGGTGGTTAAATGGCACTTAAAATGGATAGATGTTGCTGTTGCTTTTTAAAAAATGGCGGTTAAGGACCACAGACTTCAGAGGCATGTAGACTCCAGCCATTTGCCGTGTCACCTTAGGCAAGAAATGTAACCGAAGAGTCTAGAGGAAAATGGAGCCAATAGTACCGACCTCACAGGGTGAGATGGCACAAGGATTAAATAACTGATCATCAACGCAGAGGGCTCATGCGGCATCTGCCTGCTGTCACGTGCAGAGGAAGGGACACGCGTGCCTCGGTGTCCACTTCCCGCACGACGAAGAGCCGCTGGCTCCGCCCGTTTCTAACCAGGTCGCCTCGTGCAGGAAATCAGAAGGGGAGAGGCAGGCAGCCGGGGTCAGGGGAACGGTTTTCGGAGAGAGAGTGAGTCTCGGTTGGCGTGAGCCCGGCAGACTGGGGCAGCCAGCAGGTCGGGGAAGGGCTGTCCCCTGCACGGTGTCTGCCTCCTGGATGGTGCTGGGGAGAAGTGACACTCCGTTATGCAAGTGGCCTCGATCATGGAGCACTGCTTGTTTACTTCTGAAGGAGACTCAAAATGTGACAGCATTTGAAATAGGGGTGTTTTTTTTTTTTTTTAATGAGTGTTTCACAGAACTATATTTTTAGCCATGTTGGCTCACGTTATATAACCAAGCCTCTTGCGGGACACTCTAAATAGAACTTGCAATAGCAAGAGATGACAAAAGCTGGTGTCAGCAGTTTGACTACACAGATAATCTAATTGTAGATGATGCTAATGAGATGGATGTCGCCGTCCCCCTTCCCTTGAAGAAATCCGATTCCGACGGGGGACCTGAGCTTCTCCTTTGCTTGCTTTTAATAGACCTTAGAAGCTCAGGCTTCCAGCTCGCCTTCCCTACGAGTGAAGCGTGACACGTGCATGAGCTTTCTTTATTGCACGAGCATTTGACGGGTGCCTACAGAGTGTCAGGTGACCGGGGGACACAGAGTCCTCAGAGCAGGAAGGAGCACCGGATGTGAGTTTGAAAGGAGGCAGGGGGTGCAGGAGGCTTCCCAGAAGGGGTGACATCGAAGCTAAGACGTACGGTGACCAGGGAAGGGAGACGAGTTTCCCAGGTAGAAGGAACACATGAGAATTTGGAGGTGGGAACGTGGGTGTGGCTTGGTGTGTCCAGGACAGTGATGCAGACAGGAGAGTCGGGACCGATATGAGGCCAGGGAGGTGACGGAAGTGTGATGAAGCCCGCGTTGGTCCGTCCCCTGTGCTCTGTGACGCCCACCTTGTCTTCCCAGGGACCCTGGAGCCGCACTGGTCGGGACTGCTGTGGACGGCCATGCTCGTGTCGCTGGCCATCGTCATCGCCCTCCCCAAGCCCCACGGCGTCCGCGCCTTAATCGCCTCCACGATTCTGCGGCTCATATTTTCGGTCGGGCTGCAGCCCACGCTGTTCCTCCTGGGGGCTTTCAACGTGAGTACGGGCACCTCCGCCGCGGCTCGTTCGTGACACGAACAGCACCGGCTTCCTCTCTGGGCCCTCGGCCCTCGGCCTGTGCTTTCCGTGCAGAAAAATACTGCACCGTTTGGGTCAGCCGTTAAAATGGCAGAAGCAAGACAGAGCCGCTCCTCCCCGCCCCGCCCCTACCCCCCAGCTTCTGACGGTCATGAGCCTCTTGGAGCATTTTCAGGCTCGGCCGATACAGTTTTTAGGGCATATTCCTCTCAGAAGGCGGGAGGCAGAGGAAAGCAGCTGAGATTTCAATGAGCTTTGCCAATCCGGTGACGGGTTGGCTGGCGCAGGCGGTTCTAGCCAGTCAGGCAAACCATCAAATGTTAACACGGCACCTGCTCCTGGTGAGGCCACACAGGACGGGGCGGGGGAGGGGCCGGGGGTGTGCAGATGGGCAGCAGGGAGCCAGGCGAGGAGAGGACCGTGCTCATTTCAAGTGGTGACATCGAGAAAGGCCGTCTAGCTGCACTTGAAGGACAGAGGCCACCCGCACGACACGGGGATTCTGGGAAGTGGGGACAGCTGACCTGAGCTGGAAGCCATACTGGGGATAGTCTCTGGGGAAAGGAAAGGGTCTGGACACACGCAGCACCGTCTCCTCCCAGAGGTCCCCGCCCTGAGCGTACGGGGCAGCCGAGGTCGCCGCACGAAAGTGGAAGTGACGTTCCACCGGAATCCCGTGCAGCAGCACGTGTCCCCAGACGGCCAGGCAGCGAGGGCGTGCGCGGACAAGAGCCTCCTTCAGGCCGACCAGCTCGGGTAGGAGGCGGCCGGAAGTTCTGTCTTAACGAATGGAGAGGCGCTCGAGTGGGTCCCAGGGGGTCCGCCGGCCCCGGGGACGGCCCCCAGCGGAGTCCCAGCTCCGTGTGGCTCACGCACTGGCCTGCGGGACCTGGCCCCGAATCTGGGGACAAGGCACCGGCCTCCTCCTCCAGCACTTCCAAAGCGTGTGCCTGGTTGACAGATCTGAGACAGGGAAGGGGACGTGGTCAGGGGACGTGAGAAACGGCCAGTTACACGGAGCGGATGGTTGTCCCTGCAGAGTTCCTCAGACACGGGCATGCTGACCTGGAATCCCCAAGGAACAGAGACGTCGCTGTTGCCCAGGCTGCTGTTTAGAGGGTCACAGGGAATGAGGGTCGTATAGGATCCAGGCTGGGAAAGGCTGTTCCCAGGAGTGGGAGGTGACTCGGGTGTTTTGAGAAAAGAAACTGTGCACAGAGAAGTGTCCTCGAGAAAATTCCTTCCGCGGTAGCATGCTGTGCAGATTCAGGCGAGGGGGCTGGAGGCGGGGGCGGCCATTGGGGACGGTCCAGATGTCAGGACCCGTGGCACGCGGTGGGCGTGGGCCTGGCGCCTTCCGCCAACAGCGAGGTCCGCGTCCTCTCCAGGCAGAGACGGTGTTGCTGAGCTGGCGGGCGGATGAGGGAGGCTGCGGTGACTCCAGATTTTCAGTCACAGGTGCCTCGGAATGAGGCAGCCAACTAGAAGTCATGCAGAGACCTCGTTTTCAGGGGGAAAGGCACTGAAGTTCACTTATTGGGCCCGAGGTGACGAGACAAACCATCGTGTTAGCTGTGGCCCTGGGACATGCATGACCAGAGTGACAAAGACACCGGTGCTGGAGAAGGGGACGTAGGTGTCACCTGCAGCAAGACAGCACTGTTCAAGAAGGAAGTGCAGAATTAACAAATAGAAGGAGAACGGCTCAGGGCTTCAGAGGCTGCCGTCTGCGGGCTGCCCTGTTGTGTCTCTGGCTTTCCATTAGCCCGCAGATATCTCGTCTATAACACAGATCATCTGAGGGAAAGCCTCAAATTAGACAATTAATTACCATTTCTAATAACATTAGCTTGGGGAGAAAGGCTGACACAGCTATAAAAATTTTTTTGAGGGAATAAAAAAAGAGGAACACCCACGTGGAGCAGACGGGAGGGGACAGATTCGCTGTGGACAGGAAGCTGGCAGCGGGTGCCGGCGTGGGACCCCCGGCGGGGGCAGAGCCCTGCCGTGCTGGAGGGCTGGGGGTGGGCACGCTGGGCAGCCCGGGAGACCCCACGGGTGTCCTTGCAGAGTCCCAGGGCCGTGGGGATGGCCGCGGCAGTGGACGGGTAGCACGAGGCCAGAGCGAGGGCCGATCTAGCAGAGTCGCTGGGAAGCGGGGACTGCGGCCGAGTCCGGGACGGGGAGAGATCCGCGGGTGCAGAAGCGGAGAGGGCCAGAGCAGAGCGTAACGGGACCGGGGACCCAGGCGGAGCAGGCGGCTCCGTCGCGGAGGCGTCCGGTGCCCGGGCGTGGGGAGGGTGGGCGAGGGTGGGCGAGGGCGGAGGGCCAGCGGAGTAGGGCCTGGCCTGGCCTGGCCCTGAAACCTCATCAGCACAGTTCATCGAGAGTCGGAGATGCTGTCGCACTCCGTGAAGCAGCCTACGCTGAAGGTCGGACGATTAGAAAGAAAGAAAAAAAGCAAACGGCTGCCGGGGTGCAGTTGACCTGTCTGAGGGAGCCGGAGGCGCTGCGAGGGTTGGCTCGCTCCCTTATCTGATCGCCGAGAGGCTCGTTTACCCCGACTCGCCAGATTAACTGGCGGCACCTCCCCAGCCAGTGGCCAGGCGAGCTAGGGTGGCAGAGCGCGGTTTCGCCAAGTGCAGCCGACAGGAGCGCTTTCTCCGCCGCCTTCTCCTGATTCCCGTGTTCCTATCGGGAGGCGGACTTCCGGGCGTGGGGTTTCTGCCACGCGGGAGGGCGACCTTCAGCTGCAAGTGTCAACGCTAATACACGCGAGTGTAACGAGCAAAAGAGGAAATGGCTCGGTCCCCGCGACCCCGATCCGGAGCCTAGCCCCAGGCGCAGCCGAAGACGGGGCCGCACAGCAGCGTCGGGGGCCCAGCCTCTCCCGTCTCTCTTTGTTTTGCACGGGTGGTTCTGGAAGGCTCCGTGGTGCAGCAAGACAGATGCCGGCAGCCTTTCTCTTGGGTTCAAGGTCAGGGGGTAAGAACGAAATGGTCGTGCTGCCATCCCAGCAAAGATCTCCGTGGGCATCCATTTGGTCGCATGCCTGTCCCTAAACTGACCCTTACTGCCAGGAGCGTATAATGTGCTGATTGGCCAGGATGGAGCCCCACCTGAATCTCAAGGGCTGGACACCTGGAAAGGGCTGGATCCCCGGGGGGAAACGAGACGTCGTCCTAGAAGCCCAGGGTGGGCAGGGGACTGGAACGCATCCGGAAGTCCTTTTTTTTTTTTTTTTCCTCCCCAAGAAAATTCTCATTTTCTCCATGAAATTTGAGGCACAAGAGCTAAGAACTGGCTGCTTCTCATTAAACTGCAACCCTGTAATGCCTAGGACGTAACAAATTCAGAAAACACTTTTATTCAAGCAGGTCACAGGGTTCGTGGATTGAGGTGGCTTCTGTGTTTGACTAACTCATATAAGAACGTTGGAAATGATTCACCTCTCCTCTCGAAAATCGTAATTTCAGTATGTGTTAATTTTGTTTTTGTCGTGCACTAATGCCACTTGATTACCGTGACGCGTGAAGATATTTGGCCACACGTAACTTGTAATATGCTTGAAAAGCAGGGTCACGAAGTGACTTCCATCTCATGGTGGTTTTTGGCGGGTTTGGGGAGCATTTGGTGCAAAAGGGACCTTTTGTTCGGGCAGTTACTGGCATGGGTTCGAGAATCACCCTGGGCTCTCACGAAGACTCAGGTCGGCGTGATCGTGTTTACGCGACTGTCCCTCTCATTGTTCCCAGGTCTGCAATAAAATCATCTTCCTCATGAGCTTCGTGGGCAACTGTGGGACGTTCACCAGGGGCTACCGGGCCATGGTGCTAGACGTCGAGTTCCTGTACCACCTGCTGTACCTGCTGATCTGTGCCATGGGGCTCTTCGTCCACGAATTCTTCTACAGTCTGCTGGTGAGTCCCCGCTGTCGGAGGTCTTGTGTGCCGAAGACTAGGAGAGTGTCCCACGTCCTCCCTCTCATCACCGACCCCTCCTTCCAGTGGTGACGGGCGTGCCTGCTCTAACGAGGTCATAGCGCCCCTGTCCGCAGTGTTTGGGAGATCTGGAGTGGAAGCCACCGAGGGGGCGGGTCAGCTGGTCGGAGCCCAGGTGGGCGCAGTCACACCGCCTGCCTGGTGCGTGATGGCGGCCGCGCCCTGGGCCAGGACACTCCCGCCTTCCTTTCTGTGTCTCGGGCTCGGCCGGTGCTTCCCAAGGCGAGTGTGTCCGAGAGTATCATCTTCTTACTGTTCTCTTGGGATTCGGTTCCCAGAGAAAGCGTGTAGTGACATCAGATCAGCAGCTATTTCCCGAATCCCGAGACCCATGACCAGGAGCTGGATGGACTTCTTGCCTAGCCGATGTCACGGCGTCCTCATCAGCCAGCGCTTAACGCCTTGATAGTCTGTAAAATAAGTTAGTTCCGTCACCTTCCTCCGGAGCAGTCATTTTTCATAGCTTTTAAATTACAGACTAAATATCCGCATACCCTCCCGTCATTGGCGGGAAGCTGCGTCTGTAGAGTCGCGGCTGAGGAACCGTTGCTTTGTGCCCACGTCCAGTGCCGGGGGCATAACATCGACCTGTCTGCCAGCAAAACCACCCGGAAATGCCTGCGAGGATGAAAACCCTCAGAGTCTTCAGACAGGGGACTGAATGAGGCAGAGCAAGGGGTGCGTTCTCCACGGGGTCCCTGAGCTGATTGCTGAACTGCTCCGCGCCTCGGTTTCCCCAGCCGCAAAGCGAGGACGCATCGCCCCGACAGGGCCGGCCCGGGGCTCGTGTGCAGCTGCGTGAGCCAGGGCTGCGGACGGCGCTGCCACGCGGAGCCGTTGCGAAGCAGTCCCGCCTCTGTCACCGCGCGTCCCTTCTCCCGACAGAGGTCACGGTTCGGGTCAGCAGGGCCAGCCCGTCCCTTAGTGGGCGACGTTGGCAGGCGAGGCAGACAGGCTCTTTTCGTCGTTTTCAAATAGGTCTGGCTAGACGTGGAGGTGTTGGGCAGAGGTCTGTGGATGTGACCCCGATGGCCGTCGGGTGACCCCTTTTTGTCACTGGGTCAGGAATCGGGGCTCTGTGGGTGTTTCCGAGCCTTTTCGCAGTAACATCCCTGGGCAGGTTCCTGGTCCGTGAGTCAGGGAGACACCAGGCCACAGCCCAGCCAGCCGGTGCCGGGGCTGGAGGCAGGGGATGTTCCGGTGAGAGTTCTCTCCCAAGAGACAGGAGGGTCCCCTTCAGAAAATGCCGTCCGTCCCGGGAGCGTTTGATTTTTCCTGCAGTCCATGTCCAGATGGTTTCGTCTCCTCTCCTGGTCCTTCGAGTCCCCCTCCCTGGGCCATTCGCGATGCCAGCCGGTGCCAGGGCTGGAGGCAGGGGATGTCCCGGTGAGAGCGACCAGTGTCGTCCCCGCCCTCGGGGGCCTCAGAGCCCCGAAGATAAGTGACCACCCTGCGTCGAATGTCCACGGTGTGCTCTCTCGCCGGCTGCCTTTGAGGTAGATGATGTCCGCACGTCGCAGACAGAAACCGGGGCTCGCTGAGGTTAGGGACCTGGCCAGACTCCCACAGTGAGGAGGTGGCAGAGACAGGGCAGCAAGTCCGCTCTGCCGGCCTCGGGTCTGAGTCCTGAAGCCCGGCCCTGACTGCCTTCCCGCCCCTGAGCTCGTGAGGGAGCCCCTGCTCCGTGCCACTGGGGGTCCCCTCGCAGTGGGGCTTCGCGCCTTCCAGCCTCACCTGCCACAGCGGGGCGGGAATAACCCAGGGCTCTGCTCACTTCTAGAAAGGCTTGATGGGGTCAAACTGGATCATGGCCGGTCACCTCTCATGTGCCGCTGGGATTTTCTGAGCTGTCTGGGTCTTAACCTGTCTGTGACATGTTCCTTTAGGTGTCGCACACGGCATCTAACGTGTCTCTTAAGAACCACAGACGAAATATTAAAACCACTCGAGTTATTACACGAATAGGGAAAGCCTGTGACTGGAGGGAGGAGCCACAGCTCAGGTGAAAGCTCCACGCCGCCGGGCCAGAGAGTGGGCGGCTGGGGCCCCCCAGGGCTGACCAAGCCTGGCCTCACGTCTGCTCCAGGATGAGAACGCGCAAGGTTCATAGGCAGGTCGTAGCGAGAGGAGAAACGGACGAACTCGGCGCTAAGCGGCGACAGGCTGATGGACACACCACTGCGTGGCGTCCGGAGAGGCTCGCGGCCGGCGGGCGGGCGTCACGCGGCGTGTGAGCTGCCACAGCCCTTCCAGAAGGCAGTGGGGCGTACGTTTCTGCCGTAACATTAGACGCAGCATCTCCGTTTCTGGAAATTCAAAAAGAAAGAACGGGACAGGTTTATGTAGAGGTAAAAGCACAAAGGGTTCGTCCCAGCGTTGTTTCTCTTGACATATAATTGGAAACGTCTTGGCTGTTCGAAAAAAGGAAAGATGTTGGTTAACTGCGCTGAGTTTTCCATACAGCGAAACACTAGGGGATCATTTTTGACACGAAATGTTTACAAATGCCTGCTGAAAGAGGCTGGCTCTATGCCAGTACGATGGTATAATATTTTTGTAAAAATGTGTAGGCACATATGACATTTTTTTCCAGACGTAGCAAGGCCGGAAGGAGTAGACGTCTGTAGACGGTGGGGTGGTTAGTGATTTTTTGTTTTCCTTTGTGCTTTTCTGGGTTTTCAAGCCGGTCTCCATGGGACCTGTGTGATTTTCCAGTTAGAAGAAAGCTTTTCCTTTATAAAGTCACACATGTCCATGGCTTTGAAAGCAGAAACGATGACGAGTGAAGAGGAAAAGAAGTCACCGGTCCCTTGCGTGATCGGGGCCGTTAATCGCTCCGGCTCTGACACACAGGAGTCACGTCATGTTGTCCGAAGTCGCCGTCGCTTGTGCTCCGTAGTGTGTCTCTGGGAAACATTTAACCACGAGCAGCAGCGTTAGCCGTCTGTGTTCTTAGGTGCCTAGATGTCGTCCTCACCTCCTGGTCATTTCCTCCTCCACGCTGGTCTCAGGCGCAGGTTGCGTTATGGAGGCAGAGGGGCTCCTGGACCAGAAAATGAACTCAGATGTGAATTCTGCGTCGGAAGGGCCTGGGAGACCGGCTCGTTCAGTCCACTGATTTTACAGATGAGGAAACTGGGGTCCAAAAGAGGCAACACGGCTCGATCGACATCTCGCAACCAGTGAAAGGCAGAGCCGGGATTCGAACCGCTGTCCCCTGACGCACTTGGCCGTGCGTAGGGCTGCAGTGGAGCCAGCACCTGCTGGGGAGGATGTGATGTCAGCCCCGAGGCCAGGTCAAAACCAGCGCCAGGTCCGAGAAGAGCCCCGCAGAGCCCTGGCCCCATCGCCGCCCCTCCAGCCAAGTGTCCGAGACTAGCTCTCAGGACCAGCAGGGACCCTCCATGCCTCACGAAGCCACCTGCCTGCGAAGAGCAAGTCTCCTCACAGAGAGCGAGCCGAGACATGAGCACGCTGTGAGCCACAGGTGCTCTGCCCCCACCAGGGGGTAGGAAGGGTTTAGGCTTCCTGATGTGTCACCGCCACCAGTGTCCCTGCCACAGACCGTCCGTGTGACCTTGGCCCAGTCACTTCATGGCGATGACCGTCTCTCGTGTGCTTAGCCGGCGCCTGAGCGTGGCCGTGTGCCGAGCGCCGTGTGCACGTCGTCTGCTGACTCTTCACAGTCACTCTGCCCTCCAGTCCGCGGCTGAGGGAACCGAGGCTCAGGGGAGGGGTAGAGTCCTAGCCCCTGACGTGAGAGTCCGTGCTCCCTGCACCGGCCTCCCACGAGGCTCAAAGCCCCAGGAGGGCGAGGACGTGACTCGTCCAGCCCTGCACTCCGCGTGGCTGGCCCTTAGTAGAACTCAGTAAATACTCCCCAAACGGAGCGTGCCAGGACCCTCATCACGTTCCCGTCCCTCGTCCTCTGAAACTCACTCGTGTAAGCCTGGACTTTCTCTCTTTCTAGGACTCACAGCCGCGTGTGCCCCCAGAAATTGCGACGGTCTCCTCCTGCCTTTTCTGTGTTTATGTTTGTTCCCCGTCCTCTGAAACTCACTCGTGTAAGCCTGGACTTTTCTCTTTCTAGGACTCACAGCCACGTGTGCCCCCAGAAATTGTGACGGTCTCCTCCTGCCTTTTCTATGTTTATGCTTCTTCCTTTTTACCTTCTCGGTGTCTCTGTGAGGACAGGCACGTGTCACGCGGTACGATGGCAGTATATGCCGCTTTTGAGTTCCCAAAAGGGTAGATTTTCTGTAAACCGAGTTTTCGACGTGGGATCTTGGGGTTCGCCCGACACGGAGGCTTCTTAAAGCTGCCCCGTCACGTTCTTTCTGTTTGCTTTCCAAGCTCTTCGACTTAGTGTACAGAGAAGAGACTCTGCTCAACGTCATCAAGAGCGTCACACGCAACGGGCGGTCCATCATCTTGACGGCGGTCCTGGCTCTGATCCTGGTCTACCTGTTCTCCATCGTGGGCTATCTGTTCTTCAAGGACGATTTTATCTTGGAAGTGGACAGGCTGCCCAACGACACAGTTCTTCCAGGTGGGTTTGGAGTCGAGTCCGTCCCGGTTAAAACCGAACCGAAGAAAGTAACTTGAGCAACGCAGGTGTCTCCCTAGCACCCAGCGTGTGACTCTTAAATACGGGGCTTAGTTCTCACTTCGTTCCCGGGGTGGGGTGTCAGTCACGTGCCACGTCTGAGGGTCCAGACCCTACACACAATTTATTCACTATAGTCGTCTTTTAAAATAGCACGACTTCTTCACAAAGCAGCGTGAGCGGACGTATATCGAAAGCGGGGACGTGTGTGGCCCTTCGGCTCGGTCAATCTACTTCTAGGAATTTCCCCCAAAAGAAAAACCTGCTGACCGTGCAGGTACCACAGCCCCACGTGGAAGGACACTCACTGCTGAGGGAAACCGGAAGCAACCTGGACGTAGGGAGTGGCTCACGAGGCCAGTGGTCGCCAAGCTTTGTGGCACCAGGGACCGGTGCCCCTGATGACCTGAGGCGGAGCCGAGGCGGTGACGCTGGCGCTGGGGAGCGGCTGCAGATACAGATGAAACTTCACTCGCTCACCTGCCCCTCACCTCCTGCTGTGCGGCCCGGTTCCTAACAGGCCAGGACCAGTACCGGCCCACATCCCAGGGGTTGGGGACCCCTGCACTAGATTACGGTCCAGCTGTGGGGTGGTGTACCCTCCAGACGTGGTGCATCTTTATAAACCTTCATGAAAAAATGCCCACAGGACGAGGTGGGAAATTACAGAATCACATATGTTTCTCTTAACTGAAAAGTTCACATAAAAGTTCACATTTTACAGTAGGATCCATGTATATTTTTCTTAACTGAAAAGTTCACATACTTTCTCTTAAAATACGGAGGACAACTCAGGCTGCGAGCACTGGTTCTCTGGGGTCCACGGTCAGCTTATTTTATTCCTACATGCAGCGGGAACAGAGGAGATTTCCAGTCTCTAGAACAACAGCAATATAAAATACTAGAGTGGCATTTTATATTGTTGTGCTCTTTCCTCTTGATTAAAATATTTGACACTAGGAATTGACATATTGCTGGGTTTCGGTCAGGTAACCGGGCGCCCCGAATCCAAGAAACAGGCCAGAGTGGCCGAGACCAAGCCAGGCGGCCTTTCCTGCCTCCCAGCTGCTGCTCGTCCCTGCAGCCTTCGAGGGGGCGCGAAATGGCATCTCCAGCCACCGCACGGTCTGAACAGGACCGTCCGGCCCTCGATTTCTGCTGGAGTCTGTGTCGTCGCTCGTGCTGGTCAGTTTCGGCTGTCTAAAGTTTGAGCGATGCTATTTAAGCACGACGTTTCTAGGGAGCCTCCAGGGACTGACGTGTCTGGCTTCCCACCCACCCCAGATCACTGAGCGAAAGGGTAGATTGCATCTCTACTTATAATTTACGTGCAGGATTGTCAGGCGTTATTTATGTCGAGGATTGTTTAACCGGTCGTGACTCGGGGACTTGACACATTTTCGCCATCTGCTCTCGGACTGCACGTTCCCTTCTCTCTCGCAGAAGCCGGCGAGAGTTTGGCGAGCGAGTTCCTGCACTCGGACGTGTGTCGGGTGAAGACCGGGGAGAGCTGCTCCCCCACGGCACCCCAGGAAGGTAGGCCCACGGTGGCGCCAGGCCCCTCGGGTGGTGCCCATGACGTCGAAATCAGATGAAAGCGGGGTCACTGCTCGGAAGCCGGGCCGGTGGCACGGGGGGAAAGGCTGGACGATGAAGGGAGAGGAGGCTCCGTGGGAAGAAGCGCTCCGTGGACTCAGCCGGTGTCCCCCGAGCACCCACTGTTTGCCGGGACCGTGTTCTCCACTCTGAGACTCAGTAACGTAGCAGGGAGGCGGGCGGGCGAACGGGGGTTACTCGAGCGTTGCCAGACGCTGGGGACGAGGGCGGAAGACAGAAGATGAGCACCCAGCCTGACAGTGGAGTAAGAGTGTCACCAGAGAGGCGATGGCTACACCGAAACGAGAACCTCGGGCGCAGGAGGAGGGGCAGGCAGCCCAGCCAGAATACAGCAGGTGTGGGGAGCTACTGATTGTGAGGAAGAGCAGCAAGGAGGGAAGCCAGAGGTTGATAAAGGGCCAGATCACGAAGGGTCTTACGTGTCAGGCCAAGGAGGTTAAGCTTCGCCCAGCAGGTGATTGGAAGTTGTTGAAAGGGGAGTGATGTGGCGAGATCTGTGTTTTAGCCAGGCCGTTCTCACTGCAGCTGGAGGAGGGAGCAAGGCGGGCAGCAAGGCATGGTTCTTCCTCCAAAAACCAGTGAGAATAGACAACCTCCAATACAAAGCGATTTATCCAGAGGCCGTGTGTAAGGCGTTGCTGGGTTTCACCCTCACAGCGTCCGCAGTGAGGAGCCCGGGCTCGGGGCATCCCCCTCAGCCGAGTGATGGGAGGCTCGTGATTCAGAGTGAAGCAGCTTAACTGAGGTCAAGTGCCTGCTCAGAGCTGGAAAGGAAGGGCATACTTTAGATTTAATAGAGGGAAGGGCGGTTCTCACGACCCTTGGAAACGAGCAGAGGCCGGTGATGGAGACGGCACCGCCCCAGACGCCTTCAGCTCTTTGAAAGAATGTGTGACGCTTGAGTCCTTCGTTTTATTTTTTCCTGTCCCCGACACCTGCTGGCTGGAAGGAGGTTCGGGAGCCATCGTCACGAACCTCCCTCCCCGCACGTTTACGTCTGTCTCCCTCGCCATGTTCACAGAGCTGCCCCCGGCCGAGGAGACGGAGCAGGACCAGGAGCACACGTGCGAGACACTGCTGATGTGCATCGTCACCGTGCTGAGCCACGGGCTGCGGAGCGGGGGCGGCGTGGGCGATGTGCTCAGGAAGCCGTCCAAAGAGGTGGCCGTGTCCCCGGGGAGGGGCAGCAGAGGGCTGGGTGGGCGGTGGGCGCACAGCCCGGGGGCTGCCGTGCAGACCGAAGCCACGTGGGAATGCTGGGAATGGGGACGCAGGGATGTGTGGCCAGCTCCTGAGGGCTCCTTCCCTCCCTGTTCGTCACTCTGGCACCACGCACGGGACCAGCCCTCCAGTCACACTTAAGCGATTGTCCCTTGCAGGGTTGGGTCTGGCCCAGCTGAACACGCTTCCACGGCCCCATAGCCCCCAGGAGGCTCCCTCCTGCACGGGTGACACGACACTCGGGGACGTCACAGTGTAGGCACAGGGCATGGAAAGAGACGCAGTCGTGGCTTTTGAAGTTTTGATGCCCTGTTTGAGTTTGGCCACAGTAGACTGGTGGGCGCTGGTGGGGGCCGGGGCGCACCAGGGTGTTGGGTCCTGAGTCCTCCGCCTTCTGCCCTGACTGGAGGGCGGCCTGGTGACCTGGCTGACTGGCCGCCTCTTTCCAGGAGCCGCTCTTTGCCGCCAGAGTCATCTACGACCTCCTGTTCTTCTTCATGGTCATCATCATCGTCCTTAACCTCATTTTCGGGGTCATCATCGACACCTTCGCGGACCTGCGGAGCGAGAAGCAGAAGAAAGAGGAGATCTTGAAGACGACGTGCTTCATCTGCGGTGAGCGCGCGCCGGCTCTCCGTGAGGCGCCGCCCTTGGCCTTGGCAGCGCCCGCTCCGCCTCCCTTCAGCTAGGACAGAACGGGGGCGGGGGGCCGGGGGTCCGGCTCAGCCGCGGCCAGCTTGGGGTACGGAGTGAGGCTTTGGGGAGCAGACACGTGATCGCACCTCACGTGGACGTATCTCTGGGGTTTTTTTGCCATTGGGCCGTGCGAGCCCCACGCTAAGTAACCCCGCGGACGGGCTCACCGCAGGCGGCGACAGGCTTTGCGTGAGCAGGGCGCCCTCGCAGAGTGAGCGTTTGGGGGAGAGTTCAGACCTGGGTTCTGAGTAAGCTGCTGCCACTTACTCACCGTGTCACCTTACGGTTTAGTCACTTCTCTGAACCTGCACTGCTCATCTGTGAAGTGGCTACAGTCACACGTCCTTCCCATCATGGTGGGACTGAGGAGGGCTAGTTCCCGTGCCGCTCCCCGGACAGCCCGCACAGAGCAGGCACACCACCGGTGACAGGGAGGGGGCCACGTGGGCACCAAGAAACATCACCTTCGCCGCAGCGTCAGGAGCACATGTGCATGGAAGCTTTTGTAGGAAGCTGGGAGCTGAGTAATCGTTTCGGGATTATTCATAATGTAGTTACTAAATGTACACACTTCCTCCTGGTGTGTGTACTCAAAATACGAGCATTTTCCATTTTACAACTTCTTTTTTGCTTTTTGCCCCCTTTAAAGCCTTTTAAAGTATTTGGTTTGACATAATTTTCCAGAGTTACAGAAAAATCATGAGTAGTACAAAGAATTTCTACATTCCGTTCACCTAGATTCCCCAGATATTAAAATTTTACCTGATTTGCACACACACACACACTTTTTCTGAATAGTTTGAGACTGGCTGACACAACGCCTCTTTATCCCTAAATATTTCAGTCGTCTCTAAAAACAAGAGCCCTCTCTTACACACGTGCGCTGACACGGATCCAGTCCTGTTCTCTCATCTATGGGCCGAATTCAGATCTCACCCTGTATCTTAACAACGTCCTTCAGAGCCAGCAAAAGTCCGGGTTACGTGGCGCATCTGGCCATCGCGCCTCTAGCCCCGCCCCTACGTTTTTGAAGAATGTAGGTCGGTCAGCTTTTAGCATGTCCCTTGGTTGGGGTTTGTCTGATGTGTCCCCACGGTAAGGTTGAGGTTATGCATTTTTTACAGGAACATCAAAGACGTGTCACGGTGTTCCCCTCAGGGTATCGCATCAGAGGGCACGGGCTGCCAGCTCACTTCCTCACCGGTGACATTGACTTTGCCCACTTGGCGAAAGTGCTAATTGCCAGGTCTCTCCCCCGCTATAAAGTTACTGTTTTTCTCTCTGCAATTAAGAATCATTTTATGGGGAGATACTTTGAGACGATGTAAATGTTTTATTATTCCTCAAATTAAACATTGACTTGCTTGTTCTAGCATCCATTAATGGTTCTTGCCTGAATCTATTATTGTGAGAGTCACCAACTGATGATTTTCTTATTTTATTATTCTTCCTACATTTCTTGATTTCATTTTTCTAAAAGTAATTTTCTCTTCTCCCTACCCATGTATGTATATTTTGTATGTTTGTATTTGTAACAACATAGATTCACAGATTTTTATTTTATTCATTGGATTATCGTCTTGTATCATCATTATTTACTGTGATGCTCAAATTGTCCCAGATTTGTCCAGTGAGAGCCCCTGCCTGCTGGCCGCCGTGTTTTGTCACGTCATGTGTTTTTTTTAACATCCTTCCTTCCTTTTTTAACACCATGAAATATTCCCGGCTCAAGCTCACCTTGACCTTTCCTGACCCAGCCCTGTCGTCAGCTTTTCTCCGAGGAGCGGAGAATGGTGGTTAGAAGCCGAGATCTGAGGACTGCGTGTGCTCATTCCCGTTGGTTGATGGGGGCACACATTTAGGGGAGGCATGTGTGTGTGGGCGCGTGTGTGTGGATACACACGTGTGCACCCACACAGCTCTGTGTCGCTCTCTTGACCTGTGTGGAGAAGCTGAGTTCGCACCGATGCGCCTTTCCGTCCGGCATTGCAGAGCTTACTCTGTCTCCTCCCTTTCTATATTTGTGCTCCTTTCTTTGACAGTGAGAAATCTGGCTCCATTATCTACCATATACTCATTTATTTGCTCAATCTGAGACTACATAGAAACTGGTTTCGGAATTGCTCACCTGGACCTCTGCAGAATATAAACTTAGCAGCTAGAATTAAAAACGTGTTTAAACGTCTTCGTGTCCTTGTTCTGTCTCCTCCAAAACCTTCCGCTGTGTCTACGTGTTGGCACTGGCCTTGGTGAGGGAACCTCACATGCGCTGGTGGCCTGCTGTGCATGAGCGTGTCACACCCCTGCTTGTGTAACCCCGTTCCCTGACGATCAGTGTTTGTGTCGTCAGGACACGTGGAGAGCGACTCGTGACTGGTAAGTGGCAGAGGTGGGCTTCGAACTCAAGTCGGTCTGACTCTCACTGCCTGTGTGTCCTACGAGGATGAATCACTGAGCGCATCTCGAGGCCGACAGGACCAGCTCCTGGTACCGATAGGCGTGGAGCCGCAGCCCCTCCGTCCGGACACCCCGGGCGTCTCTGCACGTGGCCACTCACTTGTGGCCGGGGCTTTTCTGTCTCTTTTCAGGCTTAGAAAGAGACAAGTTTGACAACAAGACTGTCACCTTCGAAGAGCACATCCAGGAGGAACACAACATGTGGCACTATCTGTGCTTCATCGTCCTCGTGAAGGTCAAGGACTCCACGGAGTACACGGGGCCGGAGAGCTACGTGGCGGAGATGATCAAGGTGGGTGGGCGGCCCCGCAGGCCTGGCCTGGGCTCGGGCGCGGGGCTGGGAGCCAGAGGGGGGCCACGTGGCGGGAAATCAAGCTCGCCGTCTGCCGAGCCCTTACCGCGGTCGAGGCGCTGGACCCCAGACCTTCGCGTGTCCCTAGGTGTCCCGCAGAGGTGCCAGCCAGGCGGAGTCGTCCCCGTTTACAGGGGGAAACACGGAAACTGGGTGAGGCGAGCGCCTGCCTCCGAGCTGGGGCCGAGGCCTTAACCCCCGTCTCCCTCCACCCCGGCTCCCGGCTCCCGGCTCTGCCCAGCCTCTGATTCTGGTAACAGTGCTTTTTCTGGTCGGTCCGTCAGTCAGTTCGTTTGGTTCGTGGTTTTTTTGCCTTAAATAAGGCCGGGTCTCTGGGAGGTCTGTTTAAAACATGGTCGCCCGGCAAACTCGACCGTGACTGGTTGGTGTGGACGCAGCCCAGCCTCTCCGGGGGCCGCTTCGTCGATCATCAGGAAGGGACCGTCTGATGGAGAAACGCGAGTGCCCGGTTAATCGTCCTGCTGATGGGAAGCGTGGCCGCCGCGTCCCGGGGCGGGGGGGGGTGCGGGGCGCTGCCACAGGCCTCCAGAGCGTCTTCTCGGGCGGGGCTCCCCGGGGCGTCCCGGCCCAGCCGTCCTTCCATACCTGTGGCTTCTGAGTGTCATTCAGCCACTCGGGCCGTGCGATAGGGAGGAGGCATCGCTGCCGGGAGGGCGACCGTGAGCCACCAGAAAAGCCGCACGGTTGGCTCGCGGATGCCCCACCCGGTCACCCAGGGCCCAGGCGCTCGGCCCGTCGCGGTGTCCTGAAAGAGCTCTGTGTGTCTGTGCGGATGTGATTCTGACACTCGTCACGTACGGAGCCCCCAGGCAAGGTCTGTTCGCACAGGCATCGGCATTCACGAGCCTGGATGCAGGCGGCTGTCGGTCTCATCGCTGGCAGGCCACAGACGATCACGTGACGGCCCCCTCGCTCTCCCATGTGATGCGGGCCCCCAGCCTCCGGGGTCCGGGAGGCTTTCTGGCAGTGCGTGCTGCCTGCGCCAGTGACGTCCCGAAAGGCTCGTTCCGTGCTGCTCAAATTTGGGTGCACGTGTGACTCGCCGGGAGGTCTTGCTAGAAGCCGGGTCCCGATTCAGCAGGCACTGGCTGGGCTGCGGCCTGCGTGTCCCATCAGCTCCCGGGGCCGGCGCTGCTGGTCCTTGACCCACGCTTTGAGTGGCAAGGGTCTCAGGGAGGTGACGACACAGACACCGATTTAAGAACTTGTCCTCCACACCGGCCATGGGAAGGACAAGGAGACGGGTCCCCAATGTGCTGCGTGCGTTTAGCCTCTGCGGTTTGCAGAGCTGCCTCACGTCTGTTACTTGGTTCAGTCGTTAAAATCACCCCAAGTTCCTGTCTCCGTGGTGAATGCAAAGGAGCCTCGTGAGCTGTCGCCCGATGAGGATTAAGAGCCAGGAGTCGCCCCAGCCTGCTCAGAGCCCACGGCGGGCTTCTCCCTCTGCTCCACTCCTGGTTCGTGTGAAAAGCCTCAAGATCTGTGGCTTCAGAGTTCTTAACTCCGAATGTCAGAGTCGACTCTGACGCCGACGTCGTGTGCGCTTGGCGGGGGCTCAGGTGCGCAGTAGAGCGACGGCTGACAGGCAGCACCCTTCAGTGGAGTCTGGGCGTGCAGCCCCGGGATGCCAGCAGGGAGCGTCGGCCATGGCAGGTTGGGACTGGGGCTTCTCAGTGGAATCACTCATGGGGCTGGAACACTGGGAGAGCAGGCGACACGCCCGCCCACATCCTGGACCCACCCCGTCTTTCCCCACGAGGCCCTCGAGGTCCCCAGCATTCCTCCTGACGGTGGCGACCCCTCCGACGGGCCGGCCCCAGGAGGCTGCCGTCACCCCGCACGGAGCCAGGGCTGAGGGAAGTCGGCCCCAGAGGAAACCCTGGGGACAGGCTCTGCAGGGACCTGTGTCCCCAAACAGCCTCTCGCTTAGTGGCAGAGGCTGGGGGCAGGAGGTGAATTCCTCCTCAGCTCCTTCAGCCCACTGACTGAGACCCCAGAGTCCCAGAGACCGTGTTCACAGCCGCCAGAGGACCGCCCAGCAAAAGCAGCTGGTCACCTGGAGGGCCAGGGAGTGTCACAGCTGCCCAGAAGCTTGTCGTTGCAGACAGCGGTGTCGGAAGGTTTTCACCCCCAAACGAACGGCCGGTCAGGAGAATCTACCAGGGGCTCTCTTTTGTGAAGGGTCTGAGAAGCCCCAGTTGGCTTTGGGACAATGACACCTGACCAGCGACGAACCTGGGCGTGGAGGGAGGCTGCCCTTCCCGCCGGAACCGGCTTGGGATCCAGGCGCCAGGGCCTCGTCCCTCTGTAAACGGAAGCAGTGTCTTTCTCGCCACCTCTGGGGGCGCCAAAGGGACATCTGGAGAAGTGCCGTCTCACAGCTGAGAACTTGGCAACCAGATGTTCGCCCACAAATTAACTTCCATGTAAGCGTCATGGAAGATGGCAGCTTCTCGTCTCTGTGCTTCGGGTCACCTTTTCTCTCCGTCCACCGGGGATGGGACTATCCTGGAAGCCAGGCCCGGGCTGGTGGCCCCCGAAAAGTCGTCACTGCCTGAGCATTGGATCTGGGGCAGGAAATCCTAGGTTTGGGTGGCTGCTCTGCCCCTTCCTGGCTGCGCAGCCCTGGGCCAGTCGTGGGACTTCCCTGACCTGAGTCACCATCTGTTGACAGCACCTCACACGTCCTTTGGGCGATGGAAGTGAGGTGAGCATGCGGGCCCAGGGGCGTAGGCACGCAGGGAGGGAGTGGACGACGGCAGGGCCGGGCGGACAGACAGACAGCCGGGAGCCCGTGCTGGGCGAGCTGGCGCCAGCCCCGTCTCCGACAGCCCCACGACCGTGTCAGACGCCTCGGCGGTGGACACATTGCTGCTGAGAAACATCAGAACGGGCATCTTGACGCTCAGAATTCCTCCCGTGGGAAACTCCTGCCTTCGTCACTCTTAAATCTAACGATTGGCAGTGTCCTTAAGCGTCGACGTTGGGCAAGGCCACCACTCTCCTCCTCCCTCTGCCGACTCGGTCACAGGCACTGTGGTTTCCGTCTGTGTGTTCGGGGGTTCGCTGCCCAGGACCGGGGCTTCAGGTGATCGGGGGCGGGGGCGGGGGTGGGGGGAGCCCCACGTGATAGGTTGTCATGATTGCACTGGGGTTGCTGGGAGACTTGCCCCACGACTCGGCACGTGGCGCTGGGGGCGGAGCTGGAGCCAGCCTGGCTGCGTGGACGCTCGGCCTGCCCTTTCGGGACTGGACACACAGTCTGATTGGTGGACGCTGTCCTTTTGGGGAAATGTGACTACAGAGTGACCTCGCTTAGCCCTGGCGGTTCAAGGCAGGAGGAAAGACCCTCGGCGTCCTGTCGGTGCTGTCCCGTAGAGCTTTGGTGGCAGCCTCCGTTAGCAACAAGCTTTTGTGAACCCTGGACATCCACTAAACGTCCTCTGTAATTTTGGTACCACACATTGTTTTTTGTGAATGATTTTAACGCTGTTGGCTTTTCTCCAGTGCCAAACGGAGAGATGAGGGTTTGCGTGCGTCTGTGATGAGGATTTGATAGGCTGTGCAGTCAGGTGGCTTGAACCTGAATAAGTGGTAAATAAGTTGTGTCTTTGCCTGAGGGAATTTAAATACTGCACAGCACGCAGGTGGTAGGTGGAAGATCAAGTTTACAATTCCCAGCAAAGATTCGACCGCCGATAATCTACAGCGGTCAAGTTCAGGAGAAAACCCAGTCCTTAATTTGATAAGCAGAGTAAGTGACTCTTGAGAGTTAGAAACCCCAGAAGCGTTAAGAAGGAAGGTTGGTGGAGGAGACCAAACAGGTCTAAACGCAGCGCGTCTGTCTTGCTAACGTGCTGTCCATTTCATTTCCGTGCGTGCGAATTCCGCCTTTCGGCGTGAGGCATGTTTGCGGAGGTGTTCTGAGTGATTGCATCGGGAAACCGCGTGACCAGGTGCAGTGCCCTTCATCTGTAGTTCAGCATGCCCTGCTGTCTTGGGTGCTCTGGCTCCTCTCCAGGGTGGCATATGAACTGACGACGAAACTGATCGGTGAGCTGCCTGGGGACAGCCAGCTCCCACGACGGCCCCAGTGTCCGGGAGCAGGCGCTGCCTCGGGCTGGCTGATAACGCTCGTCATAGGTCATGTTTACTCAGCACACACTGACACAAACGCCAGGCATGCACAACCCCACCTAGTCCCCACCACAGCATCGTGGGTGGCACTGTTACCATCTCACAGGTGGGCCCCTGAGGGCCACTCTGCTGGGAAGAGCAGGTGGTGAGCTTCAAACCCAGGTCTGCTGAGTCAGCCCGCCTCCCCGAGCTCTCCTGACACACGTGTGTCCAGTGAGGCCCCACGTGTGCTGCACACCCTCGGTGTCCAAGCCTGCAGCCACTGCCTGCCCAGCTGCACGTGCTTCTCCCGACTTGCTCAGGCTTCTCTCCCAGCCTGTCCCCCCGCCCCGCCATGATGCCGAACTGGCCAAAAGAGGCCCCGTGGGGGTGGGGGGCCCAGGGGGAGCAGGGAGGGGCTCTCCTGGGCGACGCCGACAGGCTCATGCATCAATCAACAAGGCGGGAGCTGCGTGCTCAGTGGGGTGCAGTTTTCCCAGCGGCTCAGGCACCCACCTGGAGCGCTGCGGGCTGCAGGTGACTGGCTGGCACCTGGGAATAGCTCGGCTCCCACTCAGGGCGTGTCCGCTGTTGCTTCTGAAGCCGGATCAGCTCCGCCGCCCGCACTTTTGGAACTTGGAACGGGGCACTGGTTCCTTCGGCGGCCACATCTGCAGGGAGGGAGGTGTCCAAGGTAAAGGGGAGGGACGGTTCACCAGAACCACAGCCAGACGGGGGCTCCCACGCCCAGGTGACTCATCGGGGTGGCTATGATTCCCCGGGAATTGAACACGGCAGCGTCTGCCCCATCGCCCTCTAGGCCTGGTGTAGGCTTTTTCTCACAGCTACAGTAGACGTGTTCCTCCTCCACCCCACCGTCTGCTGCCTGCCTCTCTCCCCGTCCGTCCCTCCCTCACACACACACACACGCGCGCGCGCTTCTGCTGGAGATGTTCCAGTGCGTTCCATCTTTTATAGTTCACTTCACCTCTTCAGGAGCCAGCTGTCCAGGGATAGCAAAGCAGGACGCACTTTTCCGCGTCACAGGTCGTGTTGTCGTGGCAGCCAGTGGCATCCTCTTAGAAGGCAGTGGGGTGCTTTCTTTCCAGTAGGAGGGGGCATCCGGGGGCCTGCATTCACGTAGGAGAGCCATTTCTGCCCCAAAACAGCTCCTGGGTAGATTTTCCAAGCAAATAAACTCCATTAGCAGATCAAACACTACTCAGCAGCTCCCCTGAGGAGGCGCAGTGTCGACAGCAGCACTCGGTTTATTCGTGTGTGGTGAGGCGGGGACGTGGGCGCCGTCGGAGGTGCCGCGTTACTGAGGGCGAAGATCAGAACGGGACCTGAACGCCTGTGTGTCACGGCCTCCATCTTAAAAGGGGAGCTGGCCTAAGCCTTTCACCCTTCTTGACCCGAGAGAGCCTGGTGCTGTCAAACCCGTGACAGGCACTTTCCAGAGTGAGGAAGGTGGCTTCCCGCCACCGGAGGCCCACGTGCTGGCTGGCCCGGGGGGAGGGGCCGGGGGACAACGTGGGAGCTGCGTGCAGACCGAGAGTGCTCGTGGGTCGTAGGTGGAAGCAAGGCCCGGACGTGAGCACGGAGGGGGCGGTGGCAGGGGGCACGTGTGAGCATAGAGGCGCACGTGGCTGTCACGGGAGGGTCTCAGGTCAAGGACTTGAGAGCTGGGGAGTCCCCAGCAGACGGGACTTAGGGTGCAGGAGCGAGGAGGGGAGGGGTCCTCAGGGCGTACTCCCAGCTCTCCCCTCCCCTCTCCTGTCCCCTCGCCACCTCCGCCGTGCTTCGTTCCCTGCCAGGCAGCATGTCCTGGCCGTGACACGGTGCCGTGCAGCCCTGTGCTTCCGTGCACATGGACAGCAGCGGGGCCGCTGGGAGGAAGGGCGTGCCTCGCTCAGTTCTCAGGACAGAGATGTCCACGGTGCTGGGGCCATATCGTCAGCTTTCCTGCCGACCCTGGGAGGCCACAGCCTTGGTTAAAATGTCCTCGCTGTGGCTGAGGACGCAGCCTGCGCTGCCCTCCAGCCCCGTTCCCAGGCCGCTTTCCGCAGTTGGCCGGCACCGTGGCAGAGTTCAAGAATGTCGGGGCGAGGGAGCGGGGAGGGGCCTGGCACTCGTCTCCGGGTGGCTGGAAACAGCGTGTCAGCATCCCCGGCCAGCCGGGCCCCACCCTGTGCTCTTGAGCTTGGGTTCGTGTCGGTGGCAGCTGCACAGAGCAGTTGCCAAGCCTGAGTTCGCCACCCAGGCTCACAGCACATGGTGCCCTCTGGTCTAGAGGGCATGAAGTCACCCGTCCTCATTCGGCAGTGCCCGGCGTTCGGACTCCGGCTGCCCTCACCGCCCAGCCCCCCCACCCCGCACTGTCCCCACGCTGACCTTCAGGGAGGCCGGGCTAGGCGCTTTCGTAGCGGGGAGAGCAGGGCACAGGGGGTCGGGCGGGCCCGCGAGCGTGTGGGGTCCCCGAGCGGGGGGCGTGTGCAGAAGGGGAGACGCGCGCCCTGCAGCCCCCAGCTCGGTCGGCCGGAGGCCGGGCTCACGCCGCGCGTCCCCCCCGAGGGTGAGCCAGTCCAAGCACCTCGCGAGGCTCGTTTGGACTGACGCGAATGTGTACACGAGGTATTCGCTCACTCACGCGTACTTCACACACAACTTGGCAGATTTGGCAAGCTCCAGAAATGTGGGCTTCACCCTTCCACACCCTTCCAACCTGCCCGCTGCCCCTCCCCCGCTCCGCAGACCCCAGGGGCTGCCCCTCCCCCCACGCTCCCCAGCTGCACCTGTGGCTTTGCCTTCGCCCCTTCATCTCCTCTTTCCTCTCAATACTGACTGTGTCCGAGGAGCCAGGCTGTGGTGTCAGGTGCGCTGGGAGGTGTGGCACCGTCTGGCCTTAAATGTTCTCACGAGTGTGACTGTCTTTATGAAGTGCACATACTCAGGGTCCTCTGAAACATCTCCGCGGAGTGAAGGCTGCTAGCAGGTCTTTGGGGAACGTGAGAAGGAGGCCAACGTTGGTGTTGGGGCTGCAGCCACTGTACTTAGAAGGTCAGACAGGGGGACCCGGCTCTCGGGGTCACCTGTCACAAACCTACGTCCTCGCAGGCCCTCAGTCCCACCACCTCTGTGGTGAGGAAGCTGAGCTTTGGGGCCTCCTGTGCCATCCAACTCTGCAGTTCCGTGAAGTGTTGGGGGGCGGCCGAGAGGAAGGAGCTCGTAAATCCTAGGGGTCGGGGTGCAGGGACAGGTTAGTCGGACGGGCAACTGGGAAGAATGCTCGTGGCAGGTGACCTCCGAGGCGTGTGGGCCTGTCCTCCAGGACAGGCTTTCCCCTCCACCTCCGGAAGTCGGGGGGACAGCGGCAGATGACATCTCGCTGTCACTTCTCTCTCAGAGGGTGGCTGGGCAGGGCTGGCCCTCAGTAAAGCCATTCCAGTCAAGAGGAGTTTTCTAGCACTCAAGCCCACGGGACGATTGTGCTGCTCACTGGGACGCTACTGTGCGTGAGGCGGACGGGTGTGTGCGCGTGCGTGCATGAGTGCGCGTGCATGTGCGTGTGTGCGCGTGTGTGTGCGCGTGTGAGTGACCAAAGGTGAGCACCAAGGGTTGTTCTCTGAAACAACAGCAGAGAACTTCGGAAAGCTGGTGAAGTCAGCTTAAAACAAACAAAAACCATGATTATATAAAAAGTCATAAGACGTCGAAGTTTAAAGCACAGAGTCGAGGAAAGAGCAGAGGAAAAGCAGTACGAATGGCTAAGGTGCCACCAGAAGCCACCGGGAGCGTTCCAGTAGGTTCCTTAGCTAACCGACAGTGCAGGGGAAGTGGCCCAGCAAGATGTCATGAGCCAGCCTAGGAAGCGCGGGTTGGCCTGACTGTCCTTTGTGAGGCCTCTCCACAGGGCCGGCCCCGCCCTGGCCGGCTCAGGTCGCCAGCTCTGTGACCTCTGGCACCCTCCAGGTGGCAGCCCCCAGTGCCCAGGACCCAGCTGTGCCACCACCGAGTGGGGGGCTGCCTTGTCACCATCCCAGTGGGGCCCGGTGACATCAGCAGTGGCTGCGCAGCTGGCTTTTCCCAGAGATTTCATCAGAACTGGGTGCGGTCTCCTCTGCTGGTGCTGGCCGTCCTCGTTAATGGCGTCCAAAAGCAACTAGGAACCAAGTCTGGGGAGGAAAAGTGGTCGTTCCAGCCCAGCCGAAGATTATGTAACGTGACCTGTTTGGGGACTGTCATTCAGAGCTCAAGGAAGGAGCCACACGGACACCTACACTTGGGATCAGCTGTGCCGGAGAAAGACAGAGCTGCATCTCTGACGTCACACCCCGGAGGAAGGGAGGGACGAACTTCCCGGGAGGTCAGCCTGGACGGCCTGAGGTCAGCCACGCCACCTGAGATCAGCCTGGACGGCCTGCTGACCCCGGACCAGCCGTGACCCTGGGTCGAGGCGCTGGTTATGACACTTCTGCATGATGCTTTCCAGTTCGGGGGACACTTTCTCACAGCCGTTGGACGCTAAAGGCCACAGAGGCCCAGGCCGTGTCTGAGTCATCCACGCGCTCACTGTCCAGGAACACGGCGGGCACCACGGCTGGAGTCCTCAGCTTGTCCTGCTGCCGCACTGACGTCACCAGGCTGCCACAGTGACATGCCTGCGAAGCACAGGGGCGTCACATGTGGTTTGGAACAGAAAGACCTACATCCTTGAACATGGGGCCGCCCAGCAAAAGTCTGGGTGTGGGATTTTTTTTTTTTAATTACGAGACTTTATTTTTGACAGCAGTTTTAGGTTGACAGGAAAATCTGGGCAGAAAGCGCTGCATTCCCGTGTCCCTCTGCCCTCCTCCCCCACGTTTCCCTGTCGTGAGCATTTCGTGTGGCTGCAGTGGACCGGTTACAACCGACGAGGCCGCGCAGATGCAGTGTTACTGACCGCAGGCCAGAGTCACTTAGGGTTCGCTCTCCGTGCCGTGAGGACCTGGATCCACCGTCACAGCAGCAGACGGAACAGTCCCACCACCTCTGAAACCCTCCGTGCCCCTCCATCCCCAACTCCTGACCCGTGTCCCCAGTCGAGGTCCCCTTCTTTAATTTGGCCTTTTTTGGAAAAAAAGAAAAAACGTATAACAGATACTATAAATGGCAACTGCAGAGTCATTAAGTATAGCTAGTGATCATTATCACCGGTTTCCACCCAAAACAACAGATTCTGGGTTGGGTTGGGTTTTGCACCTTTGCTGCGATCTCAGAAAAGGGAGCTCGAAAGATTTTCTTCCTCGTCAGTGGAGGGGATCACGCTAACTCAGAGGGGACCGACGGGTTACAGCTGAAGTGTGCTGGATTTCCCTGCCCGGGAGCCCACAGCTGTTTCCAGCCCCCCACCCCCGCCACCCCCGCCCGGTGCCTCTGTCCCTGTTGTCACCTAAGCAGCCCCAGGCATCCGGGGGAAAAGCTAGTGCATTGTCCTGCTTGGTAAGATGAGCAGAAAGTCAGTTGCCACTTGAGTTGAAAGGACAGTCTTTGCCTTCTGGAATCTTCCCAGAAGGACTTCGAGGGGCAGAGAAGCAAAAGGCCCATTTTTCCCGGACCCTTCTCTCCCGCAGTCCTGTTTTTCACCCTCATGCCCCCCCACCCCGCCCCCCAACACACACAATCTCATTTCTCTAGTCTGACTGTAGAAGAATAATAGATTCAACAAACATTTTCACTGTTTACCTGGTAAACAAAACTGTCTACCTGAGCAGACTTTCTCCGAGTTGGTAACTACTTCAGTAGCCTTTCTTAGAACAGCCTCTTCCCTTGAACCTGGGAAGAAGAAAAAAAACGCTTCTCAGAATGATTAGCATTTGCATCACACAATCCAACTTCCTGTCCTCCTCCCCGGCTCTGTCA